CCAGTTGGCCAAAGTTATCAGTGAAACCTTTTTTGAGTGGTTTTTTGTGACTATCTTAAAATGACATCACGTTTCTTTTGTTCTTGATAATAAGCTATTTAGAAACTCTTCTTTCTAGGAAGGATATAAATATTAGTTTTGTTATAACTTTCTGCAACACAAAATCCTTCCCTATCAAGTTGTACATATTTTAATGAAAGTTGTGAACATACGTATGTCACATATTAGAAATGCGTTCAAGAGTAAATAACAATTTGAGTCTTTGGGGTGACGTATTTTCCATTTAAATTCCCGAAAATTTTTTTAAAATAAATTTAAAAATCATCTGGAGACTGCTTTTAAAAACCAGAGTAAAAAAAAATTCACATTTAGACACGGCTTCTATTTCCAAACTTTATCTTTACAGACGGAATAGTGAAAAAACCTTTGTTTCACTACTGATAAAAGCTTTCTCATGAGGGCTAGGTAAAAATTTCCGTTGTTAAAAAGTTTCTTAAAATATATAGTTTTTTGGGATTTCCCAAATGGGTGATGAAACAAAATTTTCTTTGAAAGGGGGAAAAAAATTATACAAAAATATTTTGGGCTTGAAATCTTTAAAATTCACGACTCCCCGGAATGAAAAAGACTTTTCATCTTGACGCCTCTAGAAAGAGTTAATTTATATTCAAAATAACAATCTTGTATTTGAATGTACCAACGGACATGAAATTAAAATACATTAACTTGGTAAAAACAAGAGCAAACATTTTATCATCTTCAGGCAGAAGAATTAATTAATTGTATGAACTGCTAAGCATTATAAAAACACACGCACACATGCACGCACGCACATTCACGTTTTCTGCATTATTGTAGGAAAGTCTCGCCTGCATTATTCGTTATCCTTATTTATGAATGCATTCATAGAGGATACATTCTTGTAAAATATTGTTGAAAGTACTCAATTTATTACATACAAAATACAAAAAGGCCATCATTCATCTAAAATGTTTCTTATGCATAAATCAAATTAGTGTCTAGTGTCAAGTTTTTACAAACATTAACAACAAAAAAACGATCAAGGATCTGTTTATATCATAACAGTATTTAGAACACCAGGAAACAAAATCAAATGGCTTGTGCATAGATATTGTAATCTCAATAAATAACTATGTAGCAGACATGATGAAACACTTAATGTAAAAAAAACAACTGCAAACTGATTGTTATGTGGGAATTTATAATTTCCATGTTATTCAGAATAGGTGTTTCACTTTCTTGAGATTACGATGGTCCTACATAGAATTCTGCCATTGACATTTTAAACGCTTCGTTTATCAATATTCAGAGTATTCCCTTGTTACCTTGTCCGAATACAGCTTTAAAGTCTTTTAGAGGCATTTATAAACAGCACTGCAAATGGAACATCTGGGCATAAATTCCTTCCGAAACTCATTTCCTAAGCCGAGAAAATAAAAAGAATTCACAATGACTCGATTTATATGTGAAAAGGGTGAAAAGGTTTACACCATTGTCAGAAATAATACAAGACGGCAACTGCGCATTCTGATTGACCACAACTTTTACGACAGCGAAGTTTGTTTAGTAATCATCTTCTTTCGGTAGTTTTTAACTGAATCTGTGTGCGCATTGAAATCAAACGTCATCCATGTTAGTGCGCCATTTCATGTCGCTCAGAATGTGAATTACTTTCAGCCGTATCTTGGTCAGTTTTATGACTGCATGTATTTCAATTTGACAATTGGAAGAAACTTGCAGGTAAAAAACAGGTATCGCTGGCTGTTGAACACAATGTTCAAATGCACTGAAACATTTTAAAATGTTTTGGGTGGGTTCTGGAAGCCAATTTATTACTGACAAAACTTTTGGCATGACTCTCGATATATACTATATTCTTAGGCAACAGAATTTTGTTTCGAATTTTTATTAAAACAACTTGTAATACAATGTAAGCATAAAGGTCCCAAAAGGGGAATAAAAAACATTTACAAGATTGCAAATTATCTTGTTCTTTATCAATCTAAAACTAAATGACCACCTGACTAGAAAATTTGTACACAACACAATAGTGTTTTTACCCCTTGTGGCTGAGGGCTTGCCAGTAATAGTTGAGATATAAGAATTGCAGCCACTATTTATCCCTGCTTGATCGTAAAAGGCGACTAAATGGGGTTGAATAACTGGAGTCTATTCATCTCTTAGCTCCATGTTATGCTTATGACCTCAGGCGTTGTTTTGAAGCTTCGGTGCCATATGATTTATGCTATGTAAATGTGCCGTAAACCCAAACCTAACAAGCACAATTTATATCAAGCATTACTTCTTAATCCTCAGACTGCTTAATATCTTAAAGGCGCTTATCCATTTTTCAAACTGAGCATTTTAGTGACAATTTGGAAACTGACTATATAGCGAGCAGTGCAGGTCATGATTTAACGACACGGATGCGCCGTTTATTCTTGTCTGTATTGGGGTTATATATAATATCATTTTTATTTCTTTTTTTTAATATTATTACAAATGTATTATTATTATTTATTTCAAAATCCCATATCAAGTTGTTTTTTTTTATGTTGTTGTTGTTTATGTTGTTGATGTTTATCCCCATTCCAATTTGACGTGAAACACAAAAAGAATACTGTGTACTATCGAAGTGGCTGGGATGAATAGAACAGAGGTTTTGCAAAGTACTGTTGCATATTCTTGGCATTGAAAATTCTGTACAACAGACACCTTAATCTTCCCTGAGAGCATATTTAGTAAAGCAATTACAGCTGAGAAACATTTGATTGGTTTATGATGAGGAAGTAATTATAATGACTTGTAAGTTAGGAGTGGAAAAGACAGGTTCTAGAGAAATAAATGACGGCAACACACCTATATTCTTTTTTTTTTCTTTTTTTTTACAAAAATTTGTTTCTGTATTTAGAAACAATTTTTCTTGATAAAATGCAAAAACAATCATGTGCATAGTTATCGCAGCAGATGTGCTGGGTTAACTTGTTAGCAATTGTGTAATGTTTTGAAAACTATTGCGACTTTGGAATACAAAATTATTTTTTAGATTTCAATTAATTTTCTTGCCACTTTCCTTTAATAGATGTAATATACATACATTTTATAATTAAAGATTCCTTGTAATAATTAATGTACATGTATTGCCTAAAATTACGAAGTGCGCAATAAATGCAATGCATGTGTAGCCTGTCATTATTGCATATTTACCACTTTACATGCCTATATACTTATCGTGGAACGCGCATGCGCGATATGTTATATATTGCTATGAACTAAGCGTATTGTTTTCATTGCTTTCGGGGATCAACCATTATCATTCCTAAGCTCTATTATGATCCACCTCAGGCACTGAAAGTACGGATCCCCAAAATGATCTATCATTTTCATGACTGAACCTCGTTCTGTATAAACATCTGTATCAATATATTTTAAACAACGTCATGACTTGTCGGTCTGTGACTGGTACTTGTGAATACATTAGCTGCCATCAATTTTAAACTCCATAATCTTCAGACTTTAATGTTGGAAAACATTTCTAGACTGAAACATTTATATAAAAATGTATTCTAAATACTGTATCTGTTTTGCTTTAACCAGATTCTTCGAATTCGTTACATCATTTATGAGTTCATGTTACTTAAACAACGAAATCCAATCAAGCTAATGGAAATTGCGCATTTACATGACAAGTACTTTGTGAAGAGCATTTCACATACATTTAAACTAGAATGATTTATTTGTCTCTAGAAACAAACTAGCCTAAACAAAACACGTTCAGTATTTTACTTATGTAAGGAGTTGCAAAATTGATTAAAAAGTTTATATTGTTGAAATGATACTCCAGTAGTAGAAACAGGCAATAGCTTAGAAATAACTTATTGGCATTTCCCGAATGCCCTGAAACAGTTTTAGCCGGTATTTGTAATGTAACCATTGTAAACATTTACACACGATTGTATATGATTACAGGGTGATGAATTTCACTACTTATTTGAATGTTCGTACTTTAATGACATAAGACGTAAATCTCTTCCTCCCCGGTTTTATATTCATCCCAATATTTTTAAACTTGACAGATTATTGAATAGTTGTGATAAAAAGATTCTACTAAAATTATCTTTATTTTGTAAAACAATTATGTTAAAATTTAGATAATTAATACTTCTCATTCTACGTTCCCATTTGTTAAAATGTAAAATACATGTTGTATTGAATTGAGTACTTGAAATGAAAAATATATGATCTCCCTTTTTTTGGTTTATTCAGCTAGTCATAATTGTATTCTTATATTGTGATATTAGTGATTTTTAACTGTTATTTTTCTGTTTGTTTGTTATAACCAGTTGCATATTATATGCCTTGGTTTAATAAAAACTGAAACTGAAACAAAATTAAGATACGATCATTTATCTGGCAGCAACACCTTATTTTTCTCCATGATGCATATAATGGTCTTATTGGCCTCCCGTGCATCAAAATAGTTAATATCACAAAATTCGACATGCATATATATTTATCATTCATTGAACAATTGAAATTCAAAATTTATAGGCTAATAATTACCTTTTACATACATACATACATACATACATACATACATACATACATACATGCATACATGCATGCATGCATGCATGCATGCATATGCATGCATACATACATACATACATACAGACAGACAGACAGACAGACAGACAGACAGACAGACAGACAGACAGACATACATACATACATACATACATACATACATACATACATACATACATACATACATACATACATACATACATACATACATACATACATACATACATACATACATACATACATAGCTTTATCCATTTCTTTTACAACATTTCAGTATAGGAAAGTACTTTAATAATTATATATATATATATATTGACTTTTGAAAGGTTACAGGGAGCAAGAGCGGTTAAATTAAGATATGCTGTGAGATATATACCGTTATAAGGGAAGATGACAACGATTACCTGAAAGAGGATTTAGACATGACCTAATTTAGGAAACCTAAACAAGTTTAACAAAATTTAGATAATTAAAAATGAGACGGAGAGGAGCTGGTATTGCTGCTATTAAAAACAAAAATTTAGCTCAGGTGCGTATTTTTAATCACTTAACGTCTTTTTCTATTCTACAAGTAACCACGTAATAAAATCTCCATGCAAGTAATTGATTTCGGATATGAATTTATTTCGGCTGGAAATGTTAAGATAGAAGCAGTGGATTTTATGTCAAAGATCTAAAGCTTGAAATTGATATAATAGAAAAACAGATGTTCATTAATAAGATATTGTAGTATTAAGACTCCAGATCTTAATTATATTTAAAATAAGATTGAAGTTCTTGACATGAGTACACTCATAACACTTGATTCCTATGAATGATATCACGAGTTCTATGGTATCACGGTATTTACATTTTCTGTGGCTGGTAGTAAAAGCAACACACAATGATGCTAATATTTTTTAAACTGGCACACTAAATTCATTTTCATCTGCCAATAAATTTAATTTTGTTTAATAATGAATGTATTCGTGGCAAGAAAACTATTTTATAAAATCTTCATATTTGACTATTCTAAGGCTTTTGATAAAGTGTCACATCAGAGACTCTCTGTGAAAATGCAATATTATGGTATACGTAATGAAACAAATTTGTGGATTGATGAATTTCTAATCGGTCGTTATCAACGAGTGGTAGTAGACGGAGAATCATCAAGACCGTCACTGGTAACATCTGATGTGCCTCAGGGAACCGTGCTTGGTCCTGCATTGTTTTTACTATATATTAATGACATAGCTTTGGATATTAAGTCATCAATTCGTCTATTTGCTGACGATTGTGTAATTTATAGACCCATACTCACCAGTGATGATCACAATATTTTACAAAAAGACCTGGACACTTTAGTTGATTGGAGTAATATCTGGCAAATGGAATTTAAAGTCGATAAATGTGCGACCATGTCAATAACAAATAAACGTAACAAATCTATGTTTGACTACAAAATGAAAAACCAATCACTACATGTTGTTAAAAACCATCCATATCTGGGAGTTGAACTAGCAGATACTCTGAAATATAACTTACACAACGATTCAATCACATCAAAAGCTTCTAGAACGGAACTTAAAACACTGTCCGACCACAGTAAAAGAAAGAGCTTATCAAACTTTGGTTTGACCTAAACTGGAATATGCGTCGCGATTTTGAAATCCTCAACAACTAAATTCATCAAAGAAAATCGAACAAATACAACGGAACGCGGCAAGATTCGTCATGAATAAGCCATACAACCGTAATAATCCGTCTAGCGTAACATCAATGCTACACAAACTAAAATTGCCAACACTTGAACAGTGTCGTCAGTGTGCAGACTAAATTCTCATGTATAAAGTGTTAAATAACCTGGTGGCTGTACCAGCTGAATACCATCCACAACTTTCAACAAGAAACACAAATTCGGTAAAGTTTGTCACTTACCACTGCAGACTTAATGCGAACAAACATTCATTCATTCCAAGAACTGTGCCTTATTGGAACAACCTACCAGCTAACATCACAACTGTGACAACCTGGGCAGTTTTAAGACTGCTGTTCAGTCTTACGTATTGGTGTAAATTAATAAACATCGTGTATAGTGTACATACATGTTTGGATTTTACTTCACGTCACGATTTTCATTATTTTAACTCCAACGCCTGGTGCCGCACATGGGGGACAGGTTTTAGCCCACGTTTTTAATGGAGCACATTTCACATCATCACTCGTTGCTGATGTCTGCACAGCGGATTTACAGATGAGACCAACTTAGAAGTAGAAGTAGACTACTATTTCCTTTAATTATTTTTACACAATCAATTAAAATATGTTATAATAACATATACTGACATATCGTCTGTTCATATAGTTTGAATTTTATAGCAAGTTAACTGTTGGAAGTTTTTCACAACTTAACTTGAAGATTTTGAACCATCTATCTTTCCATACTTGCATTTTTGGGGATTACCATGATACCATAGTTGAAAATAGTTTAAAAATGACATTTTAATTGGATTTTCAGAAATAAATTTTTGATAGACAGTCTTAGAAAAGGATCACTTATTAAATAGAAGAAAAATCTCATTCATGTAATGTATGATATTTATTTTTGAATATTTTCTGATAAACTGGTGATATCATAGAACAGCGGGCTACATTCAGATAATGGACGCATTTTATCTTTAAATTTTATTTCCTTTAAAATTCATGTTAAAGATATGCATGTATTTGATCAATACAATGATCAACAATTTCTGAAGTAGCTGACCTTACCAGTTGTGTTTTGAATGAAGATAACAGACTGAATATCTCTTTGTATAAATCATATGTAAAATGCCCAACAGGTGGTAAGATTAACAGTTTATATAATAACAATGAAGTAACTTTGGTGTCAAAACATAATGTTGAAGTATACACTGATACAAAGCTGAGATCACAAGGTTTTCAATGGTGTAAGAATTTTGAAAATCCGACAATTAATTGCAATAAACTTGAAGTGGCATATTGATTGAAATATGTGATGGTCAGCTATTGAAATATCAACTTTTGGCTTAAAGGATTTCAATTTCAAAATATATAAAGTGTGCAGCCAACAGAACAGAACCTTGGTAAACACCAATTTGATTGTTGAGTTAGGCCATGCATTATTTCATTTTTTTTTCCAGCTCAACAGAAATCAGTAACTTTTTTCTTTTTTTTAAAATGACTATATAATAAAATTATTTTGTTTGGTGCTTTACAGGCAAAGTACAAAGACAAAGGAAATGAGATTGCAGAAGATCAGTTTGCTCAGGTATTATTTTATTATTTAATTTTGTAAACTAGTTCAACATATAAAATAATGTAAATTTATTCACCAACTGCAAACTGCATGTAGACTGATGCTACCTTAGGCGGAAGGTATTAGAAAATTCCAACTGAACAAAAAACAAAACAAAACTTAACAGGATCATTTGAGCTCTTCAATTTATTAGACAAGAAATCAGTTCATTGTGAAAACTATCAGATTCAAGCCATAACACTAAATATTTAAAATGTTCTATATGTATATGTACTTGCACTTACATTAATTACAATTAATTTTAAAATATTGTTGCAGTCACATTCCAGTTACAAATGTCATTAATGAAGATGCCATTTTAAATCATTATTTTGTTATAAAAATACTATTTAAATTATAAAGATGAAAAACGTTTATAATAATATTTCATTGCTGTATATACCAGATGTCAAAACAGATGGAAACATTTAAAGGACATCTAGAAGATTTCACAGCTAAACATAAGGATGAGATCAGGAAAAGTCCAGAGTTCCGAGCTCAGTTCCAGGAAATGTGTGCATCAGTGGGTGTCGATCCTCTAGCTTGTATGTTATTGTTGTTTTAGTCTGCTCTTCCAAATATCACAAATTTAATTGTTACACTGACTCCATAACTAGATTAATTTTTCTTGTATATAAATTTGATGCCCCTGCTACATATGGAAAAGGCATATAGAATTTCCATTGTACATTCATCGTGTTGCCCAGCATCTACAGACTGACAAAACAGTGGATTTTGGGAGCACTTGTATGTTTGTACTATGGACACATTTCTAGTTTTTCCTGCTTCTCCATATTATGAAGAAAAACAAGAAAAAGTCAGAAAACTCAGTAGAACAATAAAAAACTCTTTATTGCTAGAAATGATAAAAAATAAATTTATAGTCAAACTTGTCATATGTGACTTTCCAGCAGAATACCATCCAAAAAATGTCACATCATTATGACACAGATAAAAATGTGTTTGTGAAATTTAGTTTTTCATTTGATTATGTTTAATTTTGTAATGTAAATCTAGATATATTTCTAACATTGAATTGACTGTAAAATATACAAGGGAAGACTAGAATATAATAGTAATTATCCTGTCGTTTCAGCAAGCAAAGGTTTCTGGGCAGAGATGCTGGGTGTAGGAGATTTCTACTATGAACTTGGGGTACAGATTATAGAAGTATGTCTAGCAACTAGCCACAGGAATGGGGGTATGATTGAATCAATTCCATCTGTTATATGAATAGTACACTGTTATATGAAGAGTACATCTGTTATATGAAGAGTACATCTGTTATATGAATAGTACATTTATTATAGGAATAGTACATCTGTTGTATGAATAATACATTGTTGTAATTATGTCTTGGATTATTAGATTAATGAGTTATTACATCTTTATTTAATAGCGAAACAAAAAAGTTGTCATGTCAGTGTCAGCCTATTTGTTAGTCTTAAGGACCCATTCTAAGACTTTAATGACTCATAATAAAAAAATAAGCTAGATTACCTTAGTATGCTACTTTCTGTTATAGTATACTATGCAGTTATTTTACTGAAACACAGTTAAACAAGAGCACCGCTAGGCGGAGCATTTATGCCCGAAAGTGTTTTTTTTTTAGTAAGGATGAAGCATTTGTAAGACATTACATAAATTAAATAAAGTATTACCTCCTCAAATAGCAATCCACCTATAAAGTTTAAATATTGTGGGCCAAATGGAACTTAAGTTATGCTCTGGAAACTGTTTTCAGTTTTAAGGTAATGGTGACCTTGACCTTTGAACTTCTGACCCCAAAATCAATAGGGGTCTTCTACCCAATATGGACAATCATCCTATGAAGTTTTAATAATGTGGGATACATGGAAGTGAAGTTATGCTCAGGCAACTGTTTTCAGTTTTAAAGTAATAATGACCTTGACCTTTGACTTTTTGACCCCAAAATCAATAGGGGTCTTCTACCCAATATGGACAATCATCCTATGAAGTTTGAACACTGTGGGACAAATGGAACTTAAGTTATGCTCCGGAAACCAAATTGCTAACGGACGGACAGACAGACAGACGTTCCAACATTTTGGTTTTAGGGGCTATTTTCTTTGTTATTTTCTTTGTTTTGTTAAGGGCTACTAGCCCATAAACCCTTTGATCATGGAATGTACCTATTGTTCTCTTTTGTTCTCTTTGCTGTTATATAGCCCCTAAACCCAAAATGTTTGCTCGGATAGACAGACAGACAGACGGACGGACGGGCATATAAAAAATTAAGATTAAAGAAAGTTTAAGCAAACAGAACAAAATACAATTTCTTAAATTCTCATTGCAACTAAAACAATGTTAACACAATAACCCCTTGTGACTGAGGGGTTGCCTGAGTAATGGTTGAGGCTGAGACTTGCAGTCACTATTTATCCCCTGTGTGATCATAATAGGCGACTAAATGGGTTTTAATATCTTGAGTCAATGCATCTCTAGGTGGTTTTGACACCTGGTGTTGCTTTGAAGTTTGTAATACCCCAGGTTAGCCAAGATCATCTTTCCTGTTTCAACGCCATACAACCTATACTTTGTTGGTATCGTAAAAAAAAAACCACAAACTAAATAGTAGTATTTAAGCATTACATAGCAAAATTTTGTGTGCCTTTAGGTATAAAATAATGCTGAATTTGTATAATAATCTTATTCCTCAGTTATGAATCAGAAACAGTCTTTTAGTAGTTTATGGATTTCAAAAATAACACATACAAAAATTAGGTATTCATCAGTTGAGAGTCTGGTTTGATTTTATGGAGGTGCAGGCTGTCTTGACTGTGAACACATTGGATCTGTCATTGTAGTCAAAATGGTTCAAATAGGCAATAAATCTAAATCTAGTTGTGGGCCTAAACTAATTCCACGGTTATAAATTTACTTAAATATTTTAGGTTTAATTAGTATAGAAGAATTGAAGGACAGATTAAAGAAATCTAGAAGCAAGAAAAGCCAGGATGTTAGTTTGTAAGTATAATTGTGTCATTTTGAGACTAGTACCAACAATGGTGGGATTGGGAACAGAGCCCTCAATTCATGATTTTCTATTTCTTTATCAATTCCCCTAAACAGAAAAAAAATTATCTGCCTAAAACAGGAGCTGTTAACAATTTTTCTGTTGATTTTGTTTTTTCTTAAAGAGATATAATAAATGATATTTGAAAATAAATTTGTTTTGGTGTGGAAAAAATTAACAGCCTTTGTGGTCAATTTCTACCCATCAAAACTCTAAACTGGTTTTAAATAGCAAATAAACACCACTGAGACCAATTTTATTCCTTAAATAACATTTGAGGATAATTGTTGGCAGACAAAAGGTAACTTTTTCTTCAAAACAATACAAAATTTAGAAAGTGCATGCATTTTGGTGATGTAAATGCCTACTTTTATCATAGTTATGTCTATGGGAAAGTTTGGGGAGGCTGTGAGATAACAATATTACCATAAAATGTGATATTAATTGTTATAAAAAGTACAAAGTCATTTTTCACCCAGGCATTTGTTACTTGAATCATTTCCTACAATATCAGGGAAATTTAGTGACTTTCTTTTTGCTGCTAAATAAATGAGATCATATGAAGCTTTTTGCAGATGAATGCTTCTACATCCTCACTCAAAGAACTTTGACAGTGGGATAGATTTTTTATACTATGTATTAAAATATATATATATTTATCTAATTTTACCATGAAATATGGTGCTATATCAGTCAAATATATTTCATATTTTTTAAAAATAAATATGAAATATAAATATGAAAGTGAGCGGAGTCAAGTTTTGTTTGAAAAATCTGATAAAAACAAAACTACTTTTTCTTGCATGATAGAAAATGGTCTAAGAAAATTAATCCGAACGCCAATATGTTTAATTCAGTATTTAACGCTGTACAGACGTTTAAAGAGTTGTTTACATGACGTCACAATGTAGCGCCAAACAGCGCGTGCTTATGCATAAATTACTGCGCGCTGTACAATTGCAGTTGGTAGCAAGCAAGGGGATTCGTTACCATTTTCTTTGATAATGAAATTAAATAAAAAGGTTATTTTTTCGTTTTTTTCGTGAAATATGGTATATATTTTCACTCAGCATGATAAAATGCCACATATTTTCACTCGCCGTACCGGCTTGTGAAAATATGTTGCATTTTATCATGTTTCGTGAAAATATATTTCATATTTCACGCAAACGAAAAAATATCCTCTTAGTATTAATATGTATATAATTAAGAAATAATATATCCCAAACAGTCATTTTATCGCTCAATAAAATCACTGTTTGGCGTTCTGATGTGAGGAATTTCATCACGAGGGCTACGCCCTTGTGATATAATGATGCCCAGCTGAATGACAAACAGTGATGTTATCAAGCGATAAAATCACCAATTGGATATATTATTTCGATTCTAACACAACATCAACAAATGAATGCTGTCGTACTTGATATTAAGCTAAATTGCGCTTGATTTGTTTCCGTACTTATTTTCAGCGTGTCACATTTTAAGTGGTTACATTACATGTTTAATGATCACGTCATATGTCTAAATATAGAACATCAACTGTGATTTTATTGCATAATAACACACACTTTCGGTTCTATGATCAATAGGGAAAAATGAGGGTCGTGCTAGAATCATGTATAATATATGTTGTGCTAAATTGTCATTTGACTTATATGCTGTTGTGCTTTAAGCTCACTACTAACACCTACCACTACTACTCTGATAAAAAAGACTATTAAGTCGATGATTGTATTAACAAGTATTTTCTGATTCAAACATTTATGCTTCTGTTATTTGGTCATATTAAAGTAATTTGGTCTTGTTTAAATAATTTAGTCTTGTTAAAGATTTAAACTTCTATGTATTTCAGAGATGATTTGTTGAGGGCTATAAAGAAACTTAAAGCATTAGGTAATGGTTTTACGGTGATACCTGTGGGAGGTACATACATGATACAGTCAGTGCCGGGAGAACTGAGTCTTGATCATACCGCAGTTATACAGGCTGCACAGGTATGTTTAGTGTGTCAAAATGAATTTACTACACTGTGAAGTTACCCTTGTGGATGAGGGGTGAGGCAAAAGAATTGCAACCACGGTTTAACCCTGTGTGATCATAACAGGCAATTAAATGGGTTCAAATAACTTGAGTCTATGCATCATTCTCTTAGCTCCAGCAGGTGAGGTGGTTTAACACCCAAGGTTAGCCATCTTTCCTGCAACATCATATGACCTATACTGTCTTGTGCACCGTAAAACCAAACAAAACAAACACTGTAAAGTAGTTCTATAAAAATTGTTACACTGTAAAGTATTTCCAAACCACTTGTTTTACCCATTGTAAATATTACAAAGAGATTATTTTTTTATGAAACTAAGTAGATTAAAGTATTTAAGAAACATTTCACATTGTGAAATGTCATCTCACTATTTCAGCCAGGTCAATTCTAGAACTCTTAATGCTCAAAATACAGAGAACATTAAATTGCACAGTTTCCTATCAAGCACTGTTCTAATTTTGGCAATATTTTTACAGAGTTCCTCTCATGTAACAAAGAGTTCCCTAATTAAAGAGCTGAAATGGGAAGAGGAGAGGGCTGCCAGAGCGTTGGTAAGATTTAACTTTTCTAATTTCACAATGTTTTGTATGGCCACCTTTAAACGCATCTTTGCAAATAAGAAACTATAAATGTAGTTCCTGAAATACAATGGTGATATGGCAATTGAAGTATATAATAATGTTTCTGACACTTCAGATGCACAGATAGAATTAGCCTTCCTATGCGATATATGTAAATGGACTGGTCCATCGTTCAATATGACAGCAATCTGACAATTGTGCAGATATTGTTATGCTTACATGCAGTTTTGATCATCAGTAACCCTGTTGCCTTCCAGTTGATTTGGATTTTCTGGTAAAGCTATTTTAGCCAACCAATCAAATAATCAGTTACAGAGAATCATTTACATTTTCAAGCCTCTTTATACTTAAAATTCAGTCATGGCTATTAAACTGAGGGTTAGCCTACACCTTTACATTTTCAAGCCTCATGACGATACTGACTATAATTTCCTTTATTTACAGATTTAAGATAGGGTTGTTTGTGCTCAAGTATTAAGGTAGTCTTACTGTAATGCTTTCCTGCCAAAAAAATCTAACATCCGCCAATATTGTAGCAAATTAGTTATTTCTGGAACGTTATTTTTTTCAAAATCTCGGGCATAAGGTTATTTACAATCACTCAACATTTATTGCTATGTACTAAATTCTGGTTATAAACAGTTAAGAAATTATTGAATTTTGAAGATTGTGCAAAATAATGTTCCAGAAATGACCGAATTATTATGATATTGGCTGATGTTAGAATTTTTTTGGGGGAAAAGCATTACAGTAGACTACCTGAACACAACTCTTTTGTTCGGTGTTAAATTTAGTTTAGTTATGGAGTTTTTGTTTTTCATTTCAGAATTACCTTGTTAAAGAAGGCCTAGTATGGGTTGATGACCAGGCTGGGTCAGAGAGAGAATACTGGTTCCCTAGTTTATTTACTGCCAATTTATCAGCTGGTTCCTGAACAAACTAGTGATTGATTTGACTGGTTCCTTAATTCCTTAAAGATGTACAGACTACAGTCCAGACAGTGCTGGTTCCTAAATTATATAACTTTTAATGTTTTGCACGGTTCCTGGTAAATCCAAATATGGAAGGCCCGATATCAGAGTTAAACCAGAGTTTACTTAGTTTTTGTACCTGTAAACAAAAAAATTTTATTTTTGATATTTAAATATTGGCAGACTCAAATAAAATTTGCTTGTCAACAAAATAATGGTGTTGATTTATAGTGTTGTTTGTCATAGTTTAGTAAAAAAAAATCTAAATAAAATATTTTATGTTATTTATGAGTGTCAAAACAGCTCTTTGTTCTTGTTACTATTCCATTGCTACTATTTCAAATCTATATAAACAAAATGATATGTCCGTGCTGGCTGATCATGGTGTGCACTGTTTGCATGGGCACAACCTGTTGCTGCCAGCAGGCTAAAAATTAATGAAAAAGCAAACAAGGATAGAGACAAAGTAAATAAAGCTACTGTACATGAGATAAGAAAGTAAAACTATTTTCAAGTACAAACTTTACAATGGTATAATGATTCTACACCTAAATGAATAGATTAAATGAACCAACACAATGCCAAAGTGAGATTAGTTTTAATATTCTATGTTTCTAATAACTATTATAATATCTGTCTAATTCTAATTATCAGATGAGTGGGTTACAGTAAGAATTTCATCACAACATATTTGTTAACAAATAGCACATGTCAATGTTTGTGGTTAAACTACAGTATTTTTAAATCAAATAATAGGCTCTTGTTTTATTATCATGCACTGAGAATAGTCTAAATCATCCTGTCCTACTGACAGCTCTTGTTAGCTCACCTGTCACAAAGTGACATGGTGACCTGTCACAAAGTGACAGGGTGAGCTTTTGTGATCGCTTTTCGTCTGGCGTACGTCCGCCTTTAAACTTTTACTTTAAATGACATCTCCTCATAAACCACTAAGCCAATTTAATCCAAACTTCACAGAAATGTTCCTTTGGTGGTCACCTTTTAAAATTGTTCAAAGAATTTAATTCCATGCAGAACATGGGTTGCCACACCAACCGAAAGAAAAAACTTTAAATATCTTCTTTTAATAAACCCTGAGAGCTAGAGGTTAGATATTTGGCATGAAACATCGTCTAGTGATTGTCTACCAAGTTTGTTCAAATAAAAGCCCTGGGGTCAAAATTGGCCCCGCCCCAGGGGGTCATTGATTTTCCCTATATGCATATAGTAAAAACTTAAAAGATCTTCTTTTAAAGAACTCAAAGCGCTAGAGCTAAGATATTAAGCATGAAACATGTTTCTAATGGGTGTCTACAAAGTTTGTTCAAATAAAAGCCCTGGGTCAAAATTGGCCCCGCCCCGGGGTCATTGATTTTCCTTATATGTGTATAGCAAAAACTTAAAAATCTTCTTTGAAAAAACCCAAATAGCTAGAGTTTAAATATTAAGCATGAAACATCTTTTAGTGAGTGTCTACAAAGTTTGTTCAAATTAAAGCCCTGGGGTCAAAATTGGCCCCGCCCCGGAGGTCATTGATTTTCCTTGTATGTGTATAGCAAAAACTTAAAAATCTTCTTTGAAAAAACCAAAATAGCTAGAGTTTAGATATTGAGCATGAAACATCTTCTAGTAAGTGTCTACAAAGTTTGTTCAAATAAAAGCCCTGGGGTCAAAACTGGCTCCGCCCCAGGGGTGTCATTGTTTTTAACTACTGTATATGTGTATAGTAAAAACTTAAAAAATCTTCTAATAAAAGCCCTTGGGTTAAAATTGGCCCTGCCGGGGCGGGGCGGGAAGCCTATCTACAGGTGAGCGACCTCAGGGCCATCATGGCCCTCTTGTTTTTACTATTAATTTTGTTTTTTTGTTTCTGGATGATCCTTTTATGATATTATCCTTTTATGATATTCAACTGTAAAATTAATGTAATTTCTGTCAAACTATATGTACTATGTTTAACTTTGTGTAATGTTTAGCTTTCATGTTCTACAGTTCTATTATCTTAATAAAATAAATGTTTTTAATTAGTTAAGTTTGTTTTGTTTTCATGTATTAAAGCAGCATGACTCCAGATTCATGCTAATTTTCATGAAAATTTTGAAAATGTATTTAAAAGTAAAATATTGTGAAGTGAATAAAGAAAGTAATTTACATATGGCAAACAGCACTTGCAATTCACATAAATTATCGCAAATTCACCAAAATATGCATAAATACTGCAAAATAAGTCATTAATCAAAGAAAACAAGTAAATTATCACTTTAATCTTGAATCATTTTTCTTTTCTTAAAATTTTAGTACATTTTTCTGAAGTTTGATATTCTTGAAATATCTGGCTCATCTGGAGGCATGTAGATTTAAAGTACCTGAGGTAATTGAAGGTGGAATGTCTGTATCAGAACTTCAAGAACATGGTCCCAAACCCAGGAAAATTTCCAAAAATTCTTTTTTTCCAGTAGTTTCCAATTTATTGTTGAAGGTCTGCTTTTAGTTGTGACAAATATTTTTTTTTTTTCAAGTGCAATTTGTTTTCCTTGACCCTTAAAGGCAACTTCTTGGCCACGATGTCGGGTCATAGAAAAACACCAAAAATAACATTTTGACTTATTAATAAAGTTTTCTTTTCCTACACTACATAGGAAGAAGGAAACATGTTTCTTATCTAGGTGCAAGAGAACCTACCTGTTGTATTACTGCATTAAATTTTAATTATGTCTGATGAAAAACGTCATAAAACTTTCTTACATAAACTGATGTATCTTAATTATCCTTGCATAACATCCTATTTCTTAAAAAATTAATCTGGCAGGTGCTTTTCTATTGAGTTCATTAGCGCAATTTTTGGCATGCTAGTAGTAATAATCATTAGTGTGGTCTAGAATTTTTAAAAAGTTAATTAAATTAATAATAAAAGTTCATTCAACTTCCAGTAATTGCTACATAGAATTAACACTTGATTGTTAATTAACTAGAGATAACCCATTTCATGTAAACAATTATATTTCGGAAAATTACAATTATCGAAAAATAATAAAACAAGTTATTTTGTCTAATTGAAATTAATAAAAAACTGTAGATGAAGTAAAATACAAAGGTTTAATGCAAAACTAACTTAATTGACTTAGTTTTTGTTGCTTCATTATCTCATAGAGGGTATTCCTGAGAACCGTTTTCATTTTAATAGAATAGACCAAGTTCCTGATGATAGTGTAATAAACCTGAATAAAACAGTATAATAAACCTGAATAAAACTTTTTAATAACTAATTAACATACTTCTATGCAGTAAAAATATGTTTATATATTTTGCTCATTTTGTATTATAAATGTTGTAAAATTATAAAAAGTTTCTTTTTCTCAGCCTCCAAGGAAGTGATTAACATATTTGAATGTTCTGGATTCAATTTATAGGCAATGATAAATTTACATAATAGTAATAAAAGCACTAATGAAGATTTTAAATCTTGTTTTTCAAACTATAAAACTACTTTTCTTGCCTTTTTTTTATTTGAAATGTGAGGCCCTAGAAGGTGGTCTCACTAATTTTTAAGAGGAACTTCTGAGATTCATGGTAGAGTAAGACCTTTGTTATCCCCTATACACAGAAATGCAGTCAAGAAAAATTTCCTATGTAGACTCATGAACCTTTATGTAAGCTTGAGTGGTTTGCCAAATGGTAGCATTAAACATCTCTGGCAAGTTTCTTACCTAGAATAAATATAGCTTTAGGCATTTGATTTTTTATTCTGAACAAAATATATATTGCATGTTATTATTATGTAAAGTTACTAGTATATTAAAATGATAGCTACATTAATGTTTTTTTCTCAATTACATAAGTTACTGGCAGATTTATAGGATTCATCATAGAAGTTATCAGAGCAAATTAACAATGTTGTACATGATTGTATGCTATGGTTAATTTGCCCTGATGATTAATAGAAACCAGTCAGAAAACTCAACTAATGTCAGTTACCCTTTTTTATGTATAATTTTCTCGTTCCAGCACTTTTTAGCTCACCTGTCACAAAGTGACAGGATGAGCTTTTGTGATCGCTTTTCGTCCGGCGTCCGTCCGTCCGTAAACTTTTACTTTAAATGACATCTCCTCATAAACCACTAAGGCCGCTATTCCATTTATACGTGATCAGTGGTCCGCGTCCGTCATCCGCATCTGTAACCGATTCGCTAATCAAAGAATACGTTGAATCTATTCCTTTTGTCCGTTTACCATCCGCTTCTGCGACGGCATCCGGGACGTTTCGCAGGATGAGCGATTTTTTACGGACGCGGACAGTCACTGACATGTCTCATCCCTACAAAATGCCTCGAACGAAATTAAATATTTTATCGATTTCGAAAGAAAATACTAAAGAAGTCATCAAAATAGTGTAGGAGAACTTATAAGTTTATGATGCAGCAATGACAGATTAAAAAAAAACAACATCTGGTCATCGGTTGCTAAAGAGATGTTATTTGAAAACCTAACTGATATTCAATGTTTGTTACCTAATTCTTTGATGTTACAACTGTTTTTGGTATTAGAATGAAATTATATCATATTCTACAAATAATTATCCTCTGTTCGCTATACTTTAATTAAAAGTATATAGAAAATAACGTACCTATGGAATAATACCCACGGACATGCCCGGACACGGATCACTGACGCGGACCACTGATCACGTATAAATGGAATAACGGCCTAAGCCAATTTCATCCAAACTTCACAGGTATGTTCCTTTGGTGGTCACTTTTAAAAATTGTTCAAAGAATTTAATTCCATGCAGAACTCTGGTTGCCATGGCAACCGAAAGAAAAAACTTTAAATATCTTCTTTTAAAAAACCGTAAGAGCTAGAGCTTAGATATTTGGCATGAAACATCTTCTAGTGAGTGTCTACCAAGATTGTTCAAATAAAAGCCCTGGGGTCAAAATTGGCCCCGCCCCAGGGGGTCATTCATTTTCCCTATATGCATTTAGTTAAAACTTAAAAATCTTCTTTTAAAGAACCCAAAGATCTAGAGCTAAGATATTTAGCATGAAATATCTTCTAATGAGTGTCTACCAAGTTTGTCCAAATAAAAGCCCCTGGGTCAAAATTGGGCCCGCCCCAGGGGGTCATTGATTTTCCCTATATGCATATAGTAAAAACTTAAAAAATCTTCTTTTAAAGAACTCAAACAGCTACAGCTAAGATATTTAGCATGAAACATGTTCTAATGGGTGTCTACCAAGTATGTTCAAATAAAAGCCCTGGGGTCAAAATTTGGACCGGCCCAGGGGTCATTGATTTTCCTTATATGTGTTTAGTAAAAACTTAAAAAATCTTCTTTGAAAAAACCCAAATAGCTAGAGTTTAGATATTAAGCATGAAACATCTTCTAGTAAGTGTCTACAAAGTTTGTTCAAATAAAAGCCTCGGGGTCAAAATTGGCCCTGCCCAGGGGGTCATTGATTTTCCTTATATGCATATAGTAAAAACTTAAAAAATCTTCTTTTAAAGAACTCAAAGAGCTTAGCATGAAAAATGTTCTAATGGGTGTCTACCAAGTATGTTTAAATAAAAGCCCTGGGGTCAAAATTGGCCCCACCCTGGGGGTCATTGATTTTCCTTATATGTGTAAAGCAAAAACTTAAAAATCTTCTTTGAAAAAACCCAAATAGCTAGAGTTTAGATATTAAGCATGAAACATCTTCTAGTAAGTGTCTACAAAGTTTGTTCAAATAAAAGCCCTGAAGTCAAAACTGGCCCAGCCCCAGGGTTGTCATTTATTAACTTTATGTGTATAGTAAAAAACTTAAAAAATCAACTTTTAAGAAACCCAATGAGCTAGAGCTTAGATGTTTAGCATGAAACATCTTCTTATGGGTGTCTACCAAGTTTGTTCATATAAAAGCCCTTGGGCTAAAATCAGCCCTGCCGGTGGAAGGGGGGGATGTGTGGGCGGTGAGGTGCTATATACAGGTGAGCGACTTCAGGGCCATCATGGCCCTCTTGTTCTATTGATTATACAGTTATGTATGTAATTGTATTTTGAGCTTATTATATACTGCATAGTTTATCTTCTGATGACTTTCAATTAATCAATGAAACTCCATAGGCCATTGTAATTGTATCACTGCATCCAAACAAGTAATGTGCAATTTTATCTGACAGTGCACTAAGCTTTTATCACACAATATATATGTTTACACTTAATGGCTAGAAAATAAATAAATAAGCAATAGCACCACCTGCGGTGTTAAAAAGGGGCATAACTCAAAAAGTAAAGCTTTCTGAGTTATGCCCTTGCTCCTTGTCCAGATAAGCAAGTATTCCAAGTTTCATGTTTGAATAACTGGCTACATTATTTATATCTGTCAAATATGTTTTAGGTCATATTCCATCATATTTTCAATAGTTTACCTTAATAAAACAATTTTTGTATGGAAATGTTTGTCATTACACCCGATACTATTTTCTTACAACAGCGTATGAAATTACAACTTCATTCATAAAGGCAAAATTACGTCATCCTAAACATGCAATTTTATAGCATGTGACTGATCTGGCACCCCCATGCCAGATGAAATTTCAGGCATGGGTAAAACTAACGGAAAACACAAATCTGATATGCCAGAATAAAGTCTTTGCATGATGACGACCAAGCAATCATACATGCTCCATTTTTTCTTTGAAACAGCATCTTATAATGACAACAGAACGCAATTTGCTGATCCCTTTTACTCATTAATAGACATAGCATTTATAATTGACACTGTAAGTTAAGTCTATGTGCAAATAAAATATATATATAACATTCATTCAAAAACAACTTTTACAAACTTTACCAACAACAACGAAAATATCTGCGGTAGGCAACAGAAAAAAAACAACTTCTATGTTAACATATTGAGGAAGAGATATAGATAACATGCCATCTTCATTTCACGTGTGTATAGTGATCTATCAATACAAACATTGATTCAGCTGGAAATTTTACATCTGTTTCCATTCCTTTAATACACCCCCAAAAAACTATACAAAATTTGTTGGCAGTTACTTTTTACATGCTACACATTGTATACAAAAAAAAAAATATTTTTTCTCACTTTGACAAACCAGCCTAAAATAAGTATTTTCTACCTTCAAAAATTATAGTTGAGAAATTATCTTTTGAGATGTTTCTTCAATGGTTAAAGAAAAAAAATCGAAAGTAAAATAAATTACAGATGTAAAACTGAATAAAAGGTAAAGATAATAAATAGTTTCTGTCACTGTTTTGAAGATAAAGATTGGTTTACCAATATACAAAGGCAAGAAAAATAATGTTCACATTCACAGCCTCGTCATTCTTTATCAAGAAGTACATTTGTCAAGTTAACAGTACAAGAATTTTTTTTACATTCAATGATAATTTTAGACCAGGAATTTCCAACTAAGCAACAGCTGCTAACCTAACTGATTCTTTTAAAATGTTTTTTTTTAGTTTTTGTTATATCGCTTGTACTTTTAAGGGTTTTAAGAATAACTTCTCGTCTTGTCCTGACCTCTGGTTGAATTATCTTTTTTAAATGTCCTTAAATTTTTATTTTCTTTATTTTAGCCTAATAATCAAATTTTTTAAAACTGCAAAGTTGATCTCAAAAAATCTATGACCTTAATGGCCTACAATTATTATTATCATTTTGTTGAGGTGTGTGTATCTAATGTATAATTTGTCTTAAAATCTTTCTTTTAAATAATCTTTGTACATGGTTACAAGTATAGTTCATGTTAATATTATTTATGTCACCTCTGTATTAAGGGTATTGAAAAAGAAATCCATTTTATATAATTGAGTTATTTTGCCATCACAACAGGTAGATTCTATCTCTATACACTACTATACATTCACACTTTTTTACTTTCTCCAAAGATAGGATAAAATTGCACATGGGGGTTATATCTATATTGTATACATAAAATAAACAAGTAAATAAAACACTAAATAATCTCTAACAATAATGAAATAAATGAAGCAAACACATTACAATGTATTGTAAATCTATCGGCACTCAGCACTCAATCAATACCTATATTAAGCCAACTCTCAGGGACTAAAGGGATTTGCTTGTGCAACTGTAAACTATTTTGTCTCTTAACTACTATATAATTATTCACTCTTACAGTGACAGGGCTACTTTAATGCAAGGGATGTAATCAAACATATTAACTAAAATATTTTCACTATTAATGTATGGAGAGCTGCTTTAATGCAAGGGAGATAATCATTTATCCTACTTTTTAACTATTGTTTTAAGAGAACTGCTTTAATGCAAAGGGAGGTAATCTTTAGTCCTTCATTTCAGCTCTTGCTTTAAGACTTATAGAGCTGCTTCAATGCAAAGGGAGATAATCATTATCCAAAATTATAACATATTGATTTTGTTATGAGAGAGCTGCTTTAATGCAATGGGAAAATCATTCATAATAAATTTAATCAGAACAAAAAATCTTATGCACATTGTATTTTTTACATCAGCAAACTGTCAAACAGAATGAATACAACATTTACATATATTACAACATACAACAAGACAAAAATGCCAAAATAATATGAATAACATATACAACTCCAGTCTGGAATTCTTGGAACAAATTTTTTTGTTACTGAATACATATCACAAAAAAAGAAGATATAAATAAGTTAAAGCAAGGTCAGTCATGCGGTGAAGGTATATGTGTATACCATTATAACAGTACAGAATTCAGAGAGAGAAAAAAATAAAATAAAAACAAGAAGTCTGAATGAACACAGCATAAAAAACCATTAAAACCCAATAGCAAAGTCCTTCAAAAACATAAGCAACTTACAATGTAACTGATTGGGCTTTAGTGTAAAATAAGTCCCTTTGAAGATAAAGAGTTGGGAACTTTATAAAACAGAGTTGATTGGGAACTTTATAAAACAGAGTTGTTTTTTAAAATACACTATTTTGTCTCTGTTGTTTATGTACATGTATCTTACAATTGTATTTTTTATTTATAAGGTCTCACAAAGTTATTATTACCAAAATTATTGTCTAAGGGAAACAACTCTTATAAGTCTTAAATACAACAGTAAATCATAGTAGTCTAACTTAATTAAAATAGACTGTATGCTAAGAACTGCATTCCACGTTTTAATTGTCAAAATTGTTATCTAAGGGAAACAAGTCTTACATGCATTAAATACATTAGTAAATCATAGTAGTTTAACTTTACTGTATGCTAAGAACATTAATTTTTCTCATATAAATTGTGTAATAACTTAAGCCAAATACATTCATATAAACACTTAGTTTAAAGCACAATTTCGTTCTTTGGAGCTGTTACTATAAAATACATATTTTAATAATTTTGCCTCATTATTTTTTTCAGTTTTAGATAACAGAGTATAAATAAATTAAGGAATACATAAACTTGTTTATACACAATGAACTTATAAAGTAAAACTTGAAATTTTGACTTCTAAACATGCTTTTTTCAAATACCAATATTACATAATGATGAATGGGAAAATATTTTTATGATAATGTACAACAGATTTTACAGATAAAAAACACTGTTTTAAGGTTGCTATAATTACCAATTTTATCAAAAGATGGTCTATAGTGTTCTGAAGTTTTACACATGAAATAATGATGTCATAAGAAAATGTGTAATACACACATGCTGAATGTGGAAAGGCGTTACTTTTAGCACATAAAAAGCTCAAATTTCAGAGCAAGAATTTCTTGAATATTTTTTTTCAACGCTTAATTATTTCACAGTTCATAAAACTCATTAGTACATTGACCATTACCTATAATATTAGTTGTTCAAATGGTCACTACAGTATGTGCATATATTTATTTCATTTACAATAACAATAGCCTTTCTCTGAGGCAGAGTTAAAACTATATCTACGCACAACCCAAAACAACTTCTATAATAAATGTCAAAACTCTAAAAATGGACTAAAAGACCTTCTTGTGGAAAGATCTTCATCAGACACTTCAAAAACCAGACTGTGTCATTTTGTTCTAACACTCATTGGACTTAAAAGTCCAAAAACATTTTGGACACAGTCTGCATGATTGCTCAGATTTTTACTCCAGTTAATTAGAATATAACTACAACACAACAATGTTCATTTTTTGTTTGTTTTCTCCAGTATATTTTTTTTCTATCTTTAACATCCTTCCCTGTTACACTTGTGACCATTTTTTGTACGACCATTATACGTAATGAGGTTAGCTACGAGGAAATGAAATGGAACGAAAAAGAAATGCACAAAATGTCTTAACAACACCCGCCGCTTTGACCTGCTGCCCCACCACCAGAGGGCATGCTGGGATTGCTTGGCGAGTGCTGTGGTCCTATCTTTATACCGTTTGCCTGAAAAATACAAAAAACACAGTGTTAAAAAAACTTAAATTAACACAATATTGAGGGTTGACCATGACAGTGACATCTTGCTTGGTTGTTATTTAATGTCTATTGAGATGAAATTGTGCAATGCTTAAATTTTTTTTTTTGGCAGGATATTACATTGCACCAACACAGTATAGGTCATATGCCGATTTCCCAGCTTTACTGGTGAAGGAAGACCTCAGGTGCCCCTCTGTGCATTATTTCAAGCATGTGAGACACCTGACTACAACCATTGAATCTGTAAGCTAGCTGGATAGCTTCTTCATATGAATGAATCCAAAGTTCCTGGCAGAATTCAAACCTACAGCAGTAAGGTGCAAAAGGTTTAAAGTCAACAACCTTAACCACTGACGCCCATGGAAATACTTTATACCACATCATCTAAACCAGTTTGTAACTATAAACAGCAATACAGAGGGTAAATATTACACATCTTAAATGCATAATGAAAAAAATAAGGTGACTGAACGTGCAAGATCAAAGTTTAAGCTTGAGTTACTTATGACTAAATTAGCAAAAAAAATTTGCTTTAGAAAATTACAATGGCGAGTAGTTAGAAACGACGATGACTTGAAAATCCTCAAATCTTTATGATATAATTTCCCATAGGATATGGATATCTCCCACATCCCACTGTTTTGTCAGAGAAAGTCAAATCCACACGCTTAGTAGTGGGGGCATAAAAATGTAAATTACTAAGTTTCAAAGTAACTAAATATTCTTTTAAATAAAAACAATATAGAAAATATATTGACAGTCTTTTACCTCATTGTTAATATCAAATACACCATCTTGTATCTTCTGGTAGATTTCCTTTGCTGTATTTATAAAAGCCTGTTTAAAAAAAACAACAAAATATTAAATAATAACATGCTATTTCAAAGCTAAATACTTCAAAATTTTGTTTTGGATGCGTTTTAGTAACCCATCCAGTTTGTATTGTTCTAATGGAAGAGGGGGCCCCTCCTTGACCATTCTACTCACTTTCCAACTCCCCTTATGCCTTAAATAATGTATGGAGGGGTAAAGCAGAAAATCTAAGCCATATGAAATTAATCTTTTATCACCTCATTTCTACCTGCAACAACACTAATAGATACGGTTATTTATATCTGTAGAATTTCTTTTTTGATTGTCTGTATGATAATTATAGTAGTAATTCTGTAAAATAAGTCTGTACAGGCCAAGAGACAACCTGAGCAATACAGTTAATTTGATTTTACGGCCACTGTTATACTTGTGCTTAATTTTCATTAAATTTATAAAGCATGAATCCACAGGCCTGCTGCTTTAAACATGATATTAAAATAATAACTACCTCTTCTACATTGGCCGCAGTTTTAGCCGAGGTTTCCATGAAAATAAGACCATGTTCACGGGCAAATGCCTCACCTTCTTCCTTCTTCACATCTCTTCTTGCCTCCAGATCACTAAAATTAGAGATTATAAACTGTTCATACATGCAGGTGTCTCATTAAGTTTGAAAGAAGTGGATAAAAATACAAGTACCAGCAAGAATATCATGTAAACTTAAGATTGAATAAACATAAATAGCAATTGGTAAAGTTTGTTAATGAAATCTGTACGCAAAAAAACAAACAACAATGAAAGAATTGTAACCAATTGATTCTCATTATTTGTTTCCGCATTCAACATAATTAGTCTGACAAATGTACATTTCTTATAAATATATGCTTTTACTTAAATTTTGTAACCAAGATTTTCTAAATGATCAAAATTTGTAGCGGAGATTTTATTTTCATCGTCAAACTTTTACATTGACATTGGCATACATTAATCTATCCTGTCTATATGTCTTATTCTTATCTGAAACCAGTAGCTGTTTTTCCAACAAAAAATCTTCAGTAAAGATGTTCATACTCAATATGTGATGAATTTAAAGGAATTGCAAGAATCCTTCAGAATCCAAGTAAATAAATTGTTACAGTAATAAATCAATAAGTAATGTGAAAACATCAGTCCTTTATATGTGTCAGTTCACAAGTTAATTATTAGTTCTAACAGGCTTTCATTCAGACACCAATGAAGAAAAAATTTGGACGTATTCAATGGAATTGTTCATATGGCAATATCTTTGTTCATATGGCAATATCTTAGAGAACAAAATACAACACTTGCAACAAATACCAAGTTTTTCTATACAGACACCACAAAATTTTGTAAAATGGATTTTCCCTTCTTTACATATTGATCAGTACCATATCAATTTATTTGGTGGAAATAATCAAAACACTGATCAGAATAGCCAAAAGAACAACACAATATTTATTAAAATATAAGATCAATAAGTACCTACCTTTTGTTACCTATTAACATTATAACCATATTAGAGTTGGAATGTTGCCTGGCATCTTCTAGCCATGTGGTCAAATGATTGAATGTGTCACGTCTGTCAAATAAAACAATAACAGTGTGTGCAAGGGTATAAACATACACAAATTTGAATTTTATTCATCAATAAACACAAGAGTATTTGAATACAAAGCTGATGTATGTGGCTCGAACAAGAAAACTCCTTACTAATAATTAAATAAAATTGTGCAAAGTTTACAAGAAATTGTATTAAACTTAATTTATCCAGCTTTGTATTGATTTTAGATCATAGTCCAATTAGTAATTCAGGTTTAAGAAAAAAACTTTTGTTTTATTTTTTGAAATTTAGGGAGAAATGATTTTAGCATGTCATAACATATCAAATCCAACTTATGATAAGTGTTTGGCTATAGACATGTTTCGGAGCATTTGCATTTATTCGGTTCACATAGCTTAATCTGCCTTCAGTGGAAGATCTTAGTCTTCTGCCAAAAGTTTTAGCCTAATTTCCCTGTATTAAGTATAATTATCTCTTTAACTTTGGTACTAAATACAAACATAAGCAAATGCACCCACCTTGTGATGTCGTACACTAAAAGTGCCCCAGCTGCTCCTCTGTAGTAAGACCTTGTGATAGAACGAAATGATTCTTGTCCAGCCTAGAAATAAAAAATTTTGATGAATGAATGAATGACCTCAGTTTCGCCACAATTTACAATTTTATACAACTAGGATCAATCAAACTAAATCGAAACATATCATAACTATGTTTTAAGCAATAACCTTAGATTACTAGACTTTTCAAGTTTAAAATGTATTAATTTCAAAAGAAGGGAACTGCCTAGAAAATCAATGACTTTAGATATCGTGGTCATATTTCAATAATGCAAAGTCATGAAACTTTCTTCAGAAGTAAATACAATGTACACAAGAATGTCTAAATATGACAGCTCTTGCTGATATACTGAGAATGCTTCAGCTAATTTATAAGTAGTCTAAAGCTAAGTTTTAAGTAGTCTGCAGACATACAAGACAAAATATCATACTCCAGTCTACAATCTATAAAATTAATGCAGAGGTATTCAAATCATGGATTTTCAACATCAAATATATACTTTTGCGAAACAGTTCGTCAGGAAACTGCACAATATCCCTTCCCATTTAGAACTTTAAAGTCAGTAAACCGATCACTATCTCTAACAGGCTTAATTCTCTTTGTGATGTTATTTATCAGAAATCATAAAATGCTCTTTCATTCTTAAATAATATAATGAAGCTCTGGCATTAAAACCCTTATCACTCTAAATATCTTAAATAAACTTGTCCATCTTTCTGGGCAAAAACCTTTTTTTATCATTTTAATGGAAGATTTTAAAATACATGCTGACTGAAGAGCAAACAGGGCAGACCATAATCAGAGGGCAAGGACATACCCTCTAATCTTGGTCTGCACTGGTGGTATGCATAGAATCTGTAGCTACAAGCAGAGTAACTAAGGGTTTAAAAAATATTCATTTTTTATATCCATTTGCCATAGAATTTTATAGAAAATGTAAAATATTCATTTCTTTAAATACTGCTATTAAAAGAACTAAATTTTCATATAAGTATTTAAAGAAATGAATATTTCACATCTTCCCTAAAATTGCTATGGCAAATGACTATAAAATGAATAATTTTTTCAAGATGAAAATTTGGAAGTTAAAATATTATAGCATAAATTACTGTAAAAGAAAAGAGCATAAATTACTGTAAAAGAAAAGCTATCAAGTAGTAATTTAGAACTTAAACCTTATCCTTAATAAATAATATTATCTATAATGGATTTTCTTATAAAAAAAGAAAACAATACTTTTTGACTTGGTTTGTCCCAAATTCAGTTATATACCTGTATGCAATTACTTAACTTGTGCTCCTGGACTCTAGTCCGTGGAGCTGCTTGTGTCGTAAGACTCAAACCTACAGACCAAAATCCATGGAAGTAGCTCTCTTCCAAGTCATTTGGATAATTTTGCAAGTAAGATAATATCTACAACACAAATTTAAGATGGCATTAAAACATTACTTACAGTATCCCATATCTGTAGTTTGATTTGTTTACCATCTATAGAGATCATACGTGCTCCAAACTCCACACCTGTAATAAAAATACAACATAACTTCATTTAACTCTAACACTTTACCTGATACAAAAAGTCATAAATTAACCTATGCTGCAGGAAAAAATTTAAACCAACCTAAACATATATGCAGTCTGACTAGGCTCAATTTTATAAATGATAAATTAGTTTGTTTCTGGTAACAAAATCTGGCAGAAATTTAGGTAGAAAGTACACATTGACAAATATTAAGAATTTCTTTCCTTAATAACTATGGATTTTTTGTCTTACCTTATTTTATTTCTTCCTTGTAAAATGTAAAGAAGAAAGCAAAAGTAACAAGAACCGGTTGAACCGGGTGATGCTCCCCGAGAAGGTTCTGGACACAGGAAAGTATAAAAAAAATGAACAAAGGGCAAAAACTCCAAAATTAGGCAAAGCGGAGTTATGTTTTTTTGCACTGCACTTCTATTCAATGAGATCTATCTATCTATAAAGTTTCCTGATGATATCAGAATTATGTCCCAGGTAAAAGTCAAAGTGTAAAAATGAACAAAGGGCAATAACTCCAAAATTAGACCAGACTTTGTTTAGGTTCTTTAAGCATTGCAATTCTATCCAATTATATCTAGCTACCTACAAAGTTTCATGTTGATATCTCTAATAGTTTTAAAGTATTGTCCAGGACAAAGTCAAAAAGTAAAAATAAACAAAGGGCAATTACTTCAAAATAAGGCAAGGCAGAGTTACGGTTCTTGTGCACTGCACTTCCACCCAATGAGACCTATCTATCTACAAAGTTTCATGTTGATATCTCTTATAATTTTAGAGTAATGTCCCAGACAAAGTCAAAGTGTCAAAATGAACAAAGGGCAATAACTCCAAAAGTAGGCAAGGCAGAGTTACCGTTCTTGTGCACTGCACACCTACTCAATGAGATCTATCTACCTACAAAGTTACATGTTGATACCTCTTATACTTTTAGAGTTATGTCCCGGACAAAGATCAAAGTGTAAAATAAACAAAGGGGGATAATTCAAAAATAAGACAAGGCAGAGTTACGGTTCTTGTGCACTGCACACCTACTCACTGAGATCTATCTACCTACAAAGTTTCATGTTGATACCTCTTATACTTTTAGAGTTATGTCCGGACAAATTTCAAAGTGTAAAATAAACAAAGGGGGGTAATTCAAAAATTAGGCAAGGCAGAGTTACGGTTCTTGTGCACTGCACACCTACTCAATGAGATCTATCTACCTACAAAGTTTCATGTTGATACCTCTTATACTTTTAGAGTTATGTCCCGGACAAAGTTCAAAGTGTAAAATAAACAAAGGGGGATAATTCAAAAATTAGGCAAGGCAGAGTTATGGTTCTTGTGCACTGCACACCTACTCAATGAGATCTATCTACCTACAAAGTTTCATGTTGATACCTCTTATACTTTTCGAGTTATGTCCCGGACAAAGTTCAAAGTGTAAAAATAAACAAAGGGGAATAATTCAAAAATTAGGCAAGGCAGAGTTACGGTTCTTGTGCACTGCACACTTACTCAATGAGATCTATCTACCTACAAAGTTTCATGTTGATACCTCTTGTTGTTTCAAAGTTATGTCCCGGACAAGAAAAGGGGACGGACGGACGGACGGAAAGACGGACGGACGGATGGACGGACGGACGAGGCGGCGACTATATGCTCCCCCGAAATTTTTTCGGGGAGCATAAAAATGCTATAAGGAAATCTCTTTCAGCGCTTAAACTTTTTAAAGGATTAGGTTCATTTTTTTTTATGTGTACCTATATTTAGTTATAGGGATCACACTGGCAGGAGCCAGTTAAGTAACTGTTAAATCAAAAATCATTGGCCTGTGTGAGTGTCCAAAAACATATGAAAAATTCCTTTCGAAATACACATGTGTACTATGCAATTTCAGTAAATTAAAGAAAAGATGCCCACATTTATGTGTAATTCCAATTAATTCAGGACATGTATAAATACATGTATACAATCAATCTTACCTATAGTTAAGTCATGCACAGGTTGAAATCTTTTGTCTGTAAACTGTAGAAGAAGACATGATTTTCCTACACCTGTGAAATAGAAACATATAGCTTTACCAATTAAGTAAATTAAGATACATGTAGTCAAAATATGTATGCAAAGATATTAGACTGGCATTTAATTTCAAACAGATCTTTTAATAAGTACTTAAATGCCGACTATGACCCAGATTTTTTTTTCAATTCTTCAAATCCTTTTTATTGGTTGCCCTGTTATATATACAAGTTTCCAACAAGTTACTAAATGCCATAACCTGAGCCATCTTTTTGCTTCTGTTGCTTTTTTGGCAGTTATGACAGAAAACTGTTATAGAGATTTTATTTTTTATATGGATATCAAAATACTAATTTTTTTATACATTTTACAACTTTTGTAAACAAATCAGTTTATGTTCAGCTGTAACTACTTTTTTCAGCATTAAGCCATTTATTTAGAAAGTTATAAAACTCACAATACCTTTTATACAGAATTATATAATATTTGTTTCTGAGGCATAATGTGCCTCAAAATGACAGATATGATAGGGTTTTTTAAAGACAGTATAAGTTTAATACAGCACTCAGTAAATGCCTATTTGATATACATTTAACTATTTATTAATACTAATGGGGTCTTTGCTGGCATATTGACTCCTACAATACAATTATTACACACACACCTTAATACACACATTCATATACATGTGCGGGAAGTGAGTGGTTTAGGTCACTTGCCCCTCACCACATTGGGTTTGAATCCAACTTTAAACAAACTTTTTTATAACAACGAGAATTTGTTCAAAATTTCATTTCTTGCTAAAGCAAGTTATCAAATTTAACTTCAAATATATATTAACAAAATGAATGTATATCAGACAACAAAACCCTCATATTTGAGAATCATATATGGAAATATATAATCAACAAAATTAATCTACTACCACTGACTAAAATATCAAATCATCAATAAATATAAATTTTCTATTATTCAAACAAATACAATTGATTAAACACTATTGTCATTATTGCAACTGTGTGCTGACAGCCACAGTGTCCAATAAATCAATATTGTATAATCAATGACAGCTGATCGTAACATATTTCCCATTCAGTTACACAACACCTCAGAATTTTAATTTTCCTGTAAAAGGCCTGCAACATGCAACCATGTAACGTCCCACTTACACAGATACAAAACAAACAAAAAACACCCTAATAAAGGCTAGCTTTGACAGTCTTAAACAAAAAATTTCAAAAATTAATGGGCTATATTTTTTCATTTAACATACTTATAATGAAACAATTTTTTTTTTGAAAAGGACTTTAAACAGATATGACATAAAAAGACATGAATTACAATTTAAAATTCCCTATTGAAATTAAATATCAAATACAAACCCTTAATACAAGTACTTTATTTGTATTTATTTTAAAATTTAAAAATAATTATACTGTGCAGTATCCCCTAAAAAGGATTAATACTTTTAAATTTCAAAAAATTTAAAAAAAATTTGGAAAAACCAATAATAAACTTTCTTTAAATAAAAAACATGAAAAAATTTGTTTTAAATGCTGATTTTTAATACTATTACTGTGCAAGTTAAGGTCCTTTCATAGTTAAAAAAATACCCACAACAAACTGCCAGAAACTGGCAATAAATATTCAGATATGATTAAATACATAACTAATCCTGTATCTCAAAATGACCAAACTACAAATGAACATTTAAAATAGTTTTTAATACATGATTTTGAATACATCCATAATATTATCTCAAATATGTTTACACTGTAAAATCTCTCAAGTTGCTTTATTTTATAAAATTTCATTAAGCAAAATTAAAACAAATTGTTAATTTAGCTCTTTTATAAATAATTACTTCATATAATATTTTACGATGCTATCATATAGTGCTTTTTGAATGCTATAATATTTTACATCAATTTAACATAATATAAGGGGATTAAAATTGGTTGACAGTGACGGAAAAAGTCATAACTGGCAAAAAAAAACAACATTTCAGTGTGCCCATCAGGCCCAAGAAAAATTATTTGTCAGACAACCTGTTATCTTTCTTCTTAGAACTAATGAACAGACAGTCTTAAAAACAGCTTTGCATTAATTTTTTACTCTCTTTTTTCAGAATAATTGCATGACATTGATAATAGAAATTTCATGCCAGCCAACTTTCAATTGAGTATCAATTTTACAAAACCAACAACAAGCTTAACCTATTACAAGTTGACAATCTCTTTAAATGATTGCCATTTAATTTAAAAAAAAAAAAAAAAAAAAAAATTAAACCCTATAGGAAATATTCGTATTTATTAATCCGATATCTATTGTGTCGTTTTTATATTTTGATGCTTTGTTTGGTGCACTTATCTCTTTTATCATGAATTGGAATTGTTCGTATTTGTTCGTTTTTCCGCTAAAGTGGGCGTGACGTTAATTGTAAAATTACGACGTCACGTCCGTTGATATTATTATTATTTATTTACCTTGAAAAAGGCATACATTTGCCGAAACGTTGGAAAAATAAAAAATGATATTATACGTGTTATTGCTGTGACTTTATTATTTTCCATTTAATTTAATAATCATGAATTACCAATCAACAGCAACATTCTTGGTCACAAATATCTCAATCTGAGGTAAGCAATACTAATTTGGCCAAAGCTTAGTGCTGTGGAACACCTGAATTTGTGTGCCGACATATTAAATATAAGCTATAATGACTTAATGATATCCGATTGACTTTGATGTCGGGTTATGATTATAATCTAATGTTGGCAAATGTAGTTACATTTGTTTACCATTAATTGTGTCTAAACTTTCTTGGGCAAAATTAAGCGAGCTTTGAAATCTACACTTCTAGTACTAATGAATATTTATATGCATATCAGGATGCCTGATCATGCATCAAGTAGAACCCTGTGCACATTTGGAACCCTGTGCACATATTTCTTACCTCAAACAAAAATAATAAGAACATAGAAAAGAAATGCATCATCTTCTTTAGTTATCAATGTGCAAATATGCAATAATACATCAGTCAGAAGTACCCCTCCTACATGTTTCAAAGTTCTGATACTTCAGCATTACCTAGAGTGTTGAGTCCATGGCAACACCCGACTGTGTTAAAACCAGAAAGTGTCAGCATAACAAAAACAAAGAAACTAAGTACTGTAAATAACATCACATATTAAATTGTATTGAATAGTTTGAAAACTGTGTTGAATAATTGTAATTTAACTATGAATCAGAGTAGCGTATAAGAACCTTACCATTTTTTATTGGTTGGGAAATATGATTCATAGCCACAAGACCTAAAACCCAACGTCCCAAGTTAGTTTCTATGTTTGAATCCTAAACTAATGTCAAGTCTAGTGTATGTATGGTACCATTTTGTAATCGCGTTGGCTCCCAAGAGAATGCATAACTAAAGCATACTGTATCATTCACTCTTTATAGCACAATAAAAAAAAAAACATAAACTAGACTAGCCCAAAGTCCCCAACAACAACAAAATTATTTTTTATTAAAAAACTGGTCCCCATTTTTACATGTGTAAAAAAAAAACAAAAATTTTTTTCAGCAGAAAAGTTGCAAACAACGATAGAAAATATAAAGGGTATGTTTTAAATTTTAAAATAAAAAAATTATAAAGTTCTAAAAAATTATACTTGTGTTTTCCACATTATGATATATTTAAACAAATAAGCGTACGACATCTTTTTACTGAATCTTCTCTTCTATTTGGTGATGTCAAACGATGAACCGGATATTAAACCAAAAGGTCGATTTTGGATAAACGCCACCTGCTGGTTCCCGAAGCGAACGGTAACTCTTCAGAGAAAACGAAAACGCCGAAAACGAAAGTAGCATTGACGAAACTATAGTCAGTGTACCGGGTTTCCGCAGAGACCCGGGTTCCGCACAACTTTCCCATTTTTTTTCATTTTTTCCCTTGAAAATTCAAATGGAATTTATTTCAGTTTCATTTGGTTTTACTGAACTGGGCAATTTTCAACCAGGATATGAACATAATCTGGGATCTTGCACCCCGCCTTTCCCTAAAAGAGTGCAGAGCAAAAAAATGTAAATACATGTACATGGCTGTGTAGGTCACACCATAAAAACATCTTTTTCAGCAATTAAACCATTGCTAATTTTCCTATTTCAATGTTAAGATATTTAAATAAAAAATAATATATTTGAAAATAAATGTATGTTTTTGTTTTGGCAAATTTGCTGTTAGTTATGAAATATATGCAACATGATTTAACTTCTCCCAATAACCAAACGTCAAGTTCATTTCACTTTGATTCTTTTGTTTAAAATGATACCAAACTCTTAATCGAACAAGTCATAACTAAACAGATGAAAAAAACCTTCAATAATAATGTTTTATGTCTGTGTTACTACCCTACAAGTGGTAAAAAAGTATCTTTCAATTGCTGTTACAAGATGTTTCCTATGTGCTACTATGCTTGGAAATAAATTTTGTATTACTGTAGTAAGATGTGCTTTAAATTTTATTTTAAACTCCTGAAAATTTGCAAAACAATATAACTTATCTGGACTTAGAGATGTTAAATAATTTATAAAACATGTTTTAAGATGTCATACAATAACCTTTCAGTATAAAAGTGGCCTTGTGTGCGGAACCGAGTCCACTATTTATCATATTTGGCCAATACCTGTTGCTATAAAATCAAGTGCGCCTAGAAAAGTATGACCTACATAAAGATAGAAACGTTTTTGGTCATCAGTTTTTATGGGCAAAGGATGTAATTTTCAAAATAAGTATCAATTAAAGAAGAATTTTTAAACTATAAGATAATTTTTATTCCTTAAAAAAGTGTACGACTCCGGTACACGATCTAGACGAGTGAGAAGAATGCTTTTCCGACACATGCAAGAAACATGCGGGTTTTTATCAATCGATTGTCTATAGATAAGGTTTTATAGAAGCGGTAAAGAGTGGGTTAAGGTAAAGTAATAATCAATAATCTTGACAATGGCTAATAATGGCGAATTACGGTTTCAAGATCCATTTCGTATTTCTGAATGGAATGAATTAGTTGGCTGGTTGTACGAAAATTTCACTGAGGAACAACTTACAAACGTGGTGTTTCATCTTAAAGATGATGAGTCAATGGAAGTGGATGATGAAGATAATGCAAAAACTTTCGACAAAGTCTTCTATGATACTGTTGATGGAGGTAAATTGTAGATTTATTCAGTATGTACACATTCAAATTTCAAAGGTTGCAAATGATGGGAGTACAGGCATACTGTATATATAATAAAATTATACTGTAAATTTATACACAAACACTTGTACGTCAGAATCTTAGATATGTCCTAAAAACAACCCTTGTATCCCTGTATCCCATGTGATGAGGGGGTGAAAAAGAATTGTGTTTTTGTGCCATATATGCAGAATCTTGCCCCCAAAGTGATACACCCCTGTAAACACTATCAACAATATTTTAGTATTTTAACCCTTTACTTCATATACAGTTGAGTGAGTTCACACTAAAGGTTACACAAAGTGCACTAGTTAAGTGCACTTCATAAGTGCACTTTGTAGTGCACCAGACCTTTTTATATGTATTAAGCAGGGGCCGGTCTAAAACGCAGACGCTTATGCAGACAATATAGAATATATAGTAAAACGTAGACAATATAGATATAGAGTGTTTTTCACAAAACGCAGACGATATAGAAATAGAAGGTGTGAATTAGACTCTTAACAGCTTGTCACCACTTTTTTTTTTCAGATTAACTTTATAAAATAAGAGATTTATAAGAATTATTTATTTGATACAAAAATAACATTTTAATTAGAGATTAGAAATGTTTTTTATTTAAATGTTTTATTAGTATTCATAATATCAACAATAAATATATAAATAGAAAATATAAGAAAGGGTTTTTTTATTCTATGTTAGATTTTAATTAAATTAATTTGAAATAAAATATTTAATACTAGCTTTTGCATAATTTGTAACAATAAAAAGAAATGTGGAACAAGAAAGTAATATATTAATGGCTACAGTAATGCTTTTTGGCTGTCTCCTCCTATACTGTACTATATATCTATAGTGTCCCTGCATTTTACTATATATCTATATTGTCTGCGTTTTACTATATATTTCATATTGTCTGCATTTATCAAAAGTTGTACTATATATCTATAGTGTCTGCATTTTACTATATATCTATATTGTCTGCGTTTTACTATATGTTTCATATTGTCTGCATTTATCCAAAAGTTGTACTATATATCTATAGTGTCTGCATTTTACTATATATCTAATATTGTCTGCGTTTTACTATATGTTTCATATTGTCTGCATTTATCAAAAGTTGTACTATATATCTATAGTGTCTGCCTCATTTTAACAAAATGAATTTAATCTTAAACAAATATGTTCTCTATTATATCTATAGTGTCTGCATTTTACTATATGTTTCATATTGGGCTGCATTTACTATATATCTATATTGTCTGCCTTTTTGGTATATGTTTCATATTGTCTGCAATTATCAAAAAGTTGTACTATATATCTATAGTGTCTGCATTTTACAAAATGAATTTAATCTTAAACAAATATGTTCTCTATTATATCTATAGTGTCTGCATTTTACTATATGTTTCATATTGGCTGCATTTACTATATATCTATAGTGTCTGCATTTTACTATATATCTATATTGTCTGTGTTTTACTAATGTGTTTCATATTGTCTGCATTTATCAAAAGTTGTACCTATATATCTATAGTGTCTGCATTTTAACAAAATGAAATTTAATCTTAAACAAAATATGTTCTCTATTATATCTATAGTGTCTGCATTTTACTATATGTTTTCATATTGGCTGCATTTAACTATATATCTATATTGTCTGCCTTTTACTATATGGTTTCATATTGGTCTGCATTTACTATATATCTATAGTGTCTGCATTTTACTATATATCTATATTGTCTGCGTTTTACTATATATTTCATATTGTCTGCATTTATCAAAAGTTGTACTATATACAGTCAGGACTCAATACATCGGAATCCATTAAACTGACAAATTCAAATAACGACAGTGGATTGGTGGGAACCAATTTTTTGCAACGTTATTATAATCCTTTATAACGGAAAATTCGTATTCCGACTCCAACACAATAAAAATTGGAAACCAAACATGTTATTTTCTATACAATCAGTACCCGTTAAACTGACACTTGGTTTAGTCAAGCTCGCATATAAAACAAAAAGCCGCAAGGTGTTAAAACAGGTAAATTGTAGCTTGGTCAGTTGATTGTTACACCCTTATTACAATACCAACATGTTGTTGTTAGCTGAATTCTGTTACACTTGCCAACTTATGACAACAAACAGTGTGCATTCAATTTTTAAATGTTTAATTTTTAAAACTCCTATCATTGTATGTGCTTTTTATTTTATAAAGTTTAATCATTTTCATAAAAATCTTTAACTATTTAAGCTGTTATTATTTTAATGAAGTAGTTGTATTATGTGTATGATATGTAATGTGTGTAATGAAGTGAAGAAATAAACAATTAGATGTTTATTATAGATCTAAATACATAATGTTCAGATACCAGTGAATAAGCATATCATTACATGATGAATGATGAAATTCAATATACTGACAAATTCGATATACTGACATATCCTTTGGGAACCAACAGTGTCGTTGTAATGAGTCCTGACTGTATCAATAGTGTCTGCATTTTACAAAATGAATTTAATCTTAAACAAATATGTTCTCTATTATATCTATAGTGTCTGCATTTTACTATATGTTTCATATTGTCTGCATTTACTATAATTATATCTATAGTGTCTGCATTTTACTATAGGTTTCATATTGTCTGCATTTACTATATATCTATAGTGTCTGCATTTTACTGTTTTACTTTTAACAAAATGAATTTTTTTTTTCTTTATTATATCTATAGTGTCTGTGTTTTACTATAAGACTTTTTTTATATGCTACTGTAAATTAGATGTAAATTAAAAACCCTTTATTGTAGGATACATTTATAGGCCCCCATCATCGCTAGCTTCTTGGAATGACCAGATTGAAAATATTTTAGATACACTTTATGTTGAAAATAAAGAAATTATTCTATTAGGAGACTTAATCTACAATTTTATAAATTTAAGCCCACTTAATTCTAAATGGAAAAAAATAATCAATACTTTCAACTTACAACAACTTATAACACAAACCCACTAGAGTCACAAAAAAAAAACACAAACATCGTCCCTTCCCCCCCATTATATAGACCCACATATACACCAATCAAATCCACAGAATAATAAGCCTACACAGTTGTTCCAGTAATGTCTATTAGTGACCACTACCGGCTATTTTTTTTACAAGGAAAACTAATGCAAAAAATCAAAAAGGCCCATTACAATATAACTATAAACTACAGGTTATTTAAAAAAAAATTCAATGCAGGGAAACTTTTTTAGTTGACTTATCAAATTTCAACCATGGGTCATTAATTGATGTGTTTTTACAGAACCTGATGATCCCTTGACACTTTCTACGATTTATTTCTAAAAAGTTTTAGAATATACATGCTCCATATAAACAAAAAAGGGTAAAAACGGCAAAAACCAAAATGAAATGGTTCACAGATGAAATAGCTAATGCAATAAAAAGAACGAGAATTTTGCAAAAAAAGAAAATAACATTGAGGAATTTAAATACTGGAGATCGCAAGTCAAGGTGCTTTCTCAACAGATTCAAAAAAAGAAATTCTTTAATCAAGAGATATCTTCAAACAAAAAAAAAATCCTAAAAAGCTATGAAAAATCTAAAAGACTTGAGTGGAAAAGCTGAAAACCACCAAACCCTAATTACATTAATGACGACAGTGGAAAAATCCAGTCTATGACCCTAAACAGACAGCAGAAATTTTTAAATACATTTTTTTTCAAAATCTATTCAAAAAAACGCAAGAAAATATTACAAAACTAATAAGTGCAAATGAATACATACTCAAAGAAATGTTAAACACAGCAAAATTGACCAAATACACCAAAATTTGATATTCCACCTATAGATCCAAAGCCAAGTCAAACAAGGCATTAGATTCTCTTGATGTTACAAAAGGCTAACTGGACTTGAGGCATTAGTGCTAAATTTCTAAAAACTGCATCCCCTGTTTATATGTAAGATACCGATTTTTCTAACTATTATAATATGAGTATCACAACAGGTAAATTTCCTGAAAAAGTTAAAAACAGTCTAAGGTCACACCATTCTTTTCTTAAAAAAAAAAAAGGACACAATCAGATAAGAATAATTATAGACCTATATCTGTTCTTCCAATACTTTTCTAAAATATTTGGGAAAAACATGTGTCTGATCATTTAAAACAATTCCTAGAATTGTATAATTTCATTTTCAAACACCCAATCAGGATTTAGAACAAAACATTCATGTGAAACTGCATTGACAAATATTGTTTGACAACTGGATTAAGGCAATAAATGATGGGAAAGCTAATTGGCACAATCTTTCTTGACTTGTCAAAGGCAATTTGACCTTGTAAATCATAAGTTACTCATCCATAAACTTTTATTACTATCATATTTCTTCTGGTGCAATTACCTGGTTTACATCATATCTTTTGAAAATAGAACACAGAAGGTCACTGTATCTGGCAACCCTATCAAAATCAGCAACAGGTCATATCAAGGGGTAACCTCAAGGATCTGTCCTTGGACCTCTGCTTTTCATCAATGGTACATAAATGATCTACCACTCCATTTGAAAACCTCAGAGGCAGATCTTTTTTGCTGATGACACTAACTCAGCCAGCTTTAGGTCTCTCTTACACAAGATTTAACATAATAAACTTCAAACTGACCTTGACAATATTAATATTTGGTGCAAAACAAAATGCAAATGATGCTAAATGCCCAGAAAACAAAAGCCCAATGAAACCTGTCATCCAATAGAAATAAAAACAATTACAACCATTACATCTGCAAGGACATGAAATTTGAATTTTTCTGAGACAGAAAAGTTACTAGGTATTCATGTTGAAAATAATCTTAAGTGGAAAACCCAAGTATACAAGACATTAAAGAAATGCAATACCACAGTTGTACCTTCTTCTCCGAATTAACAATACCTTTGATGTAAATGCAAGAAAACTGTTCTTTAATGCTTAT